ACTCTTCAACACTGAACTCATACTCAAGTATGAAATCAAGTACCTAGGTGTGATTTTGGACAGTAAACTGCTCTGGAACAAACATCTAGAACACAAACTAAACAAAGCAACGATCGCCTTTTATCAATGCAAAAGATAGGCGTGAAATGGGGCTTATCGCCTAAGATAACATTATGGATATACACTGCCAAATTGGCCAAGCTAGCCTATGGAGCCCTTGTTTGGTGGCCCAGAACAGAACTTCAAACGGCAATTACCAAACTCGGACGCTTCCAAAGGCTTGTTTGTCCGCTGCTAGCGATGCATGAAAACAACACCAACTGCAGCAATGGAGAGGCCCTGCAGATCTTACCCCTGGACCTACACATACAGCAGGAGGCAGCCCTGCTGCTATCAGGCTTATGGTACTGGATCTTGGGGAAAAAATCACTACAGTGCACACAAGCGATTCTCAACAGGCTAGAGTATCAACCTCTTATTGCTGCGCCCTGTGATAGAATCACTAACCAATTAAATTTAACAGGAAATATCTTATACAACTGAGAGAAGAGGAACATGATCGGTCGACCGTAAATGAGCTACGTATATATACAGATGGATCCAAACAGGGTGCTCAGGCGCTGGCAATTCTCTCTTGATCTCAACATCAACATACACCTACCCTTGGGCAACAGAGCACATTTTCAATGTGAATGTGTCGCCTTAACCGAAGCAGCCAGAGCCGTGCAGCGGCTAGGATAATACTTTGGCATTAAATTCGTATCCGACAGTGCATCCGTGTATGGCGCTCGGAAACAAAACCAACAGCAAACTAATACTGGAGTGTCATGAAGCACTGGAGGTCATAACCCGAACCAATAGGTTACCTTGCAGTGGATAAAGGGACACAGTGGATCTCTGCAATGATCTGGGACGAGCTTGCGAGAAGAGGCTCCGAATACCTGTGCCCGTATCCGCTCCTTCCTTTGCCCTTCTCGCTGGTGCGAACCTGGATTCGCCAGAGATCCGCTGAACTCCAGCAACAACGATGGTCGCAGGCGGCCTAGACAGTCAGTGGCTTTGCCAGCAGTAAACCCGCAACTGACAAAGCGACTACTTACTTAAATAGAACTAACCTTAAAATAATATGGGACAATAACGGTCATTGCCTCCTAAATAAACATCTTTTTATCCTAGGCGGACAGACAGCCCCCTGTGCAGAGGCTGTTTCAGGAGAGGAAACAGTCACCCAGTAGTCCTGAATGCGAGGCTGTGGCTAATCAACGTGAAAAATCCTCGGAACGTGAGGTCGCTCCAGGAAGCCTGTGAAGTGCCCAGGAGACTTCTGTGCTTCTGGAAGGAGCTAGGCTGGCTAAATTAGCCAGGACTCGTACGCACAACGGACCAACCTCGAGTCTAATTGGAGAAAGGAGTCCTTCAACCCTAACCCTAACTGTGTAATGTCGAAGGGTCCCATTCAGCGATAGGTAAGTCATGTCCAGAATTTGTGAGACAGACACCCGCATATTCTTCTCGAAATAATTCTACAAATCCCTCATATAAAAAGACAGTATTCTTAAAACTTCGACATGGTTATGATCGTGTTGCTCATAATAATGTATTAAAAAACTTCCAAGTTCCAGAGCCTAAAAATGGCAGTGCTCTGGTTGGTCACAAAAATAAAGAGGAAGAAGAAAAATCTGATGTCTTCAAAATGATACTAGCATTATTAGCTACTTAAATAAACTCAAATGTTTAATGTTTAAAGAACTTTATTTCTCATTACAAAATTTTTTTTAATTTACATGAGAAATTTAATATTAAGTATATATACGAACGAGATACACGTCGCCATCAGCTAGCCCAATTCTGTCTAAGGGCCCATTCTGATGTGTGTCTTTAATGCCCTTTTGAACTGATCAATCACGTAGTTCGAAGCTTAGACGCAACCGATTAAACAATTGCACACCCTCATACCTAATGATCTTTTAAATAATTTGTGCGCGGCTTTGGCAAGATAAGCAAACTCGCTCGACGAGTATTGCGTGTAGTGGTGTATTTGATTTTATTAAATGAAGTTACTATGTAGAGAGTTATTTAAAATTTTTTTAATAAGGATACAGGTGCTATAAACATATGTTGTTTAATCGTCATAATTTTGTTTCTTGGTAGATTTTATTAGTAGGTGTTAAAAAATTGTATCTGAATAGTGTTTTATTAATTTATTTTGTAGTGTTTGTATTGTAGAAATTTTGTTTTTGCATGCTGTACCCCATATTTCAATTAGGTATATGAAAAACTTACTGAAACCGTCCCACGTTGCCAAAATCAATGTTATTAAAATAATGGATTGCAAGAGTGTTGTTTCAAAGAAACATGATTAAATTTATTTGATAAATAAACATTATCCTGTTGTTGTCGCGTTATCTGAGACGTGGTTGAAGCCAGGGTACCTATTTAGGATACCTGGCTATACCTGCTTACGTGATGATAGATTTTGATGGCCATGGTGGCGTAGCGTTACTTGTCATAAATTTTTCTGAAATAGTGTTTCAATATTGTCGGCGTGAAAATTTATATTTCTTCGTATTGTTGATAGTATTATTTGCGAGTGTGGAGAAGATATTGGTGACCTCGACCATATTTTCTTTTCTTGTTCCCAATATGACCTTACAATTACCTTCTTCATGTTCCGTTTCCGACTAAAATCTCCTTGCCTTTTTCCTTTATTGTATTATCTTCTTTCGTAATATGTTTATGTACATATTTTGTTTTTAACCAGCTTATCCCTTTATTTCCTTTTGATGTCTTAGTTTCTCGCGTGTATTTTCCCAACCTTTTACTTGAAACTGGTATAAAGTTAAAACTATTATCATAATATAAAAAAAAAATGAATTTAAAATGGTATTGAAAAAGATTGGAATATTTAATCCATTTTTCTTAAGTAATTTAGTACTACGATGCCGTGGTATTTGTCTATCACCTACTATTTATTCGCTTTAACTGTAGTTATACACTTCAATAAAATTAGCAAAAACTAATTTAAAAAAAAATTATGTACAAACCATTTGTTTTTTTATACTAAAAACTTTGATAAAATAAAATAAGTATTTGATATTGTGTTTTAATAAAAATAAAAATTCCTAGTTTTCTACGTAAGGTTATCTTAAAATGGATTCATTAGATTACGAGTTACTATGCCGATTGTCACTGCCAGGGTCAGAATCACTGCTTTATCTGTTTCGCTGATAAGGCGATTATGCCGTAATGAAAAGCTTTTTCTACCAAGTTTACTGTGTCTACCGAAAACGACTTAGCTATAGTATTGCTTTCTGCACCATAGATACATTTAGGTACAACCTACATATATTTTTTAACAGATAATTTATAAGGATACCTAATTTAGAAAAATCTGTAACATAAATATTGAGAAATAAAAAGGAATTGAATCACAAGTCACGGTGTTTATTTTGTACAGATTTAATTCGACAGATTGTTAAATACTTATGAATTATTACTGCGTTCACAAGAGCATTCTATTGTAATTCGGTATTGTTTGACATCGACAAAAACAACACGTAGAAAATTGCCGAGTTAACTGTTTACTATCTTACGTATATACAAAAAACTTTTAGTACTACAAGGCCTAGTACTAGAAGTCACCGACTGATGTCCGAACCTTGCCCATTGTTAAATTTGGAAACGCAATAAGGCCATATACAGAAATATAGATTTATATAAGTCTAGCGGTTCCTTCAATAACCATAAAAGACAGGAACATTAGACCACAATTGTATTTGGCCAACTTCCACATGGTTGCTAAACAGTCATAATTAGTATACCATACCTTTCAATGCAACCAGGTGGAATGATAGAAACTTTGTTAAAAAAATAAATACTTTTTCAGATGCAAACTCACAACAGGATAGCGAGAATATTTCCCAAAAAAAGTAAGTTTTCTGACTAAAGTATTTTATTATACATCACCCGATGTCTACAAATACTTTAGAAGATGCGAATTTATAAAAAAATCTGATTACAAGCTGCTAATATAAAAAATTCACCAACAATAACGATTATGCAATTTTGACTCAATGTACAATTTGCGGATTTCTGTGAAGCGACTGAACGAATTACTAATGCGATGAAATTGATAAAAAAATATCTCTCATAGGGCCTTACCTTACATTCTTACATTAATTTCGTCTTTGACAAAAGATGTTACACTAGGAGTACCCTAAGCCCATTGGCAACACTTGCCAAGGAATGGTCGAGTCGGGAGATACCGGCGGCTGAGGCTACTTCATAGAAAACTATTTCAATCTAAAAATGCAATTCAGTCTTGACCGAATGAGACGGTCAGTCTCGTCACCGCAATTCTGACAGCGAGTATAAAAATTAGAGGTGGCAAGTGTTAACCAAATGGACGCGCTCTCACTTAGTTAAGGACCAATCAATCACACACCACATTCAAGAATTTTCTTTTATTTCGATTTTTTTAGAGTTTTCTCTTTTATGAATTATAATTTAGCATTATGGTTAACTTCATGTTTGCGTCCATCTTTTCGTAAGATTAAACGGCTATAAATAATATTATCCGATGGATATCGCCGTGCGGCAAACTCACGTTTACGTCAAGCGAATAGACAACAAACAAAACAAAACAAACGTGAAGTTAGGAGCGATCTGACGGGCGCTGACCCTGCGATTTTTTTAAACTAAATTGCCGCAAAATATTGGTTTTATTATACAGAGTACACAGTACTACGGCGGTCTATTTCGATTTACCATTGAATTTAATATGGAAAAAGTTAAAAACACATGAATGTTATTTATCCATTTTGCGGCAATTAGTTCAAGATTGAAAACTTTATATGAGAAATGCATGTCGTATCGCGTCAGTCTGCGTTCGTCGTACCGCTGAATCTGTTAAATTACATAATATTATGTTTTACATTTATGTAAGAGTTGTTGATTGTAAAAAAATTATATGTTATAATCCCTATAAATGCTGAGTCGGTTTATTTGTCAAGAGCTGTGTTTGCCTTCACTGCAATGACACATTCTTCACCGCAGGACTTGAGCACGGTGCACTGGAAAGACGAAATATATATTTAGATACTTATTTGGGAACTATATTATTTACTAGGGACAGTTAACAAAAGTTTTAGTCGGATCTGAACCTGAGGCATTGCACAGACATTGAAAGTAGATAAGATCGAGTAACTTATCCATCACTGTATGTACTAACTAGCGCAAAACGCTATGAAGCATATTCAGATCAGACTAGAAGTTTTGAGATTACTCTATCAATGTTCAGCAATTTAATAAAGATGTTAGATTATAAACTTCCTAAGGCGTGAACCTTACTAACGCATTAAAAGAAACTCAATTCAATTAAATTTTATTTACTAAGGCTTTACTTAGTTTTTAAAACAAAAACCTAAATTGTTAAAAAAAAACATTTAAAGTTTTTAACGATTATCTATATTTTAGCACTAATTTTGTCTAGAATTATATGAATAATTTATTTTTCTATAAAATATATTCTGGCTTAATTTTTTTTATATATTATCCTATAAAACACCTCATTCATCATTCTTATCATAAAGCATTTTGATAAGTAATTGTTATTCTTGGAAATTTTTTATTTTGTCTACAAAACCTACATTCCATATAGCTTATGACCAACATTAGCTCAGGTATAAGGCTGAATTATTATCTACGAGAGTATTTAGCACCAACACACTATAAATCAATGTGTTAGAGACTCTATTCTCGAAATGTAAGAACTATATTGAGTTCATATTTATTTATGTGTATTATGAAGTCTTTCAATATCAAATGTTGAAGAAAATCAAAGCCTGGCTGCTCTCAGACAACAAAGGAAATATAAGAAAGATTTAAATTCAATCTTGCCACAATAGTCAAGCTTAATAAAACCTTTTAGGCTTCATCGGGCACCGCTGAAGATATAATAGTTTAATTAAATTTGAAATGTGTGAAATTTTAATTTATTATCAAGTTTCCTTGTTTGTTGTATAGTATCAATTAAAAATTTGTTATGTTTAAATATGGAATAACTGATGCACACTAAAAAGGTCTGAATGGAAATAGAAAGAAAAAAAGAATACTAACCAGCAATTCCTTGCCACTGTCAAAGTCAGAACGAAGTTGAGTACCGAGGTCTCCGTCTGGGATCTTGAGGTCTTCACGGAGGTCTCCATTGTCAGCCATCAGAGTGAGGTAGCCATCGTCAGAGATGTCAGTGAGCTGGTAGTCTTCACGCTTAACGTGTGGGACATCCATGTTGTGGGTGGAGGGACAAATATCTTCATATCTGAAGGAAAACATCTTATAAGCTTCTTGTTGTTATTTCTTTAAATGTTTAATCAATGAAATTTCATATAGAATGCAAATGATAGTCTAATTTTGAGTACTTCTGTTTTAAGCTGTAATCCTGTTCGGTGATCTCAGTATACAGAGGTATAGTGAGACGCATATTAGGAACTAATGTTTTATGTTCGAGTAACCGCAGCACGAAAGCAATACTATATTGCACTCGCGACTCTATGGTCTCGATTTTCTGTTACTATGACATTTTACTATTTCTAGACTCAAAATTATGGCATTCTGTAGGAAAATCTACAAACAAAGCAATAAAAATTAAAGAGTGTTACAGAATAATACATCTGCAATACTCACTTCTTTCCATTAAATATATCAATGCCCACAAGATGGACTTTTGCGTGACCATGTTTGCCAGTCTTTGAGGTGGACATTTCAACAATCTTGCATGGGCGACCCTTGAGCATTACAAAGCCGTTTTTGCGGAGAGCCGAACATTGCATAGGGAAGGTGGCGGAGGCACCAGAGTCTCCGGTCTCAAAGTGTGTGTCCTCAATGTCACCCATTTTATGGAATTTTTGTTATGGTGTGGTGTGATCTGGAAATAACATAAACCAAATTTAAAACCTTTGTATAATTATACATATTTTAGAAAGTATTCATGTTTGTCAAATTTATACTATTACTTTTAACAAATACAATTACTTACATTTACTACCACAATGCAAGCAAATTATAAATTTACAGAAATAACTTGTAAGTTGTTGTTTGGAACTTGTATTATTTTACTTTCTCCTCTTTCACAGATTAAATAAAGGTGACCTAGAATTTGTAAACTAATCACATTCTTTGATTATGTTACTGCCACATCGTCAAATAGCCGTAGTGAAATATTAATTTAAAACTGTATTCCTGTTCGGTGATCTCAGAATACAGTGGTATAGTGAGACGCATATTAGGAATAAGTATTTAGTGTTTGAGTACCCACAGCACAAAAGCAATACAATATTGCACTTGCGACTCTATGGGCTCAAATATGTGGAATAAATATGACAACATATGTAAGTGCATAAACAAAAAAGTATGAATGATTCATCTAAAATTTAGAAAATAGAGGTGACTGAACTTTAATATCAGTGAACATTTAAACAAATCAAACATTTATAGAGTGAATTCTAATCAATATTTTAATTTATCATGGTATTTTTGTGGGTGATGTCATATCTTATTGAAAGCAAAAACACCATGTTTTTGGTTAACCACATAACCTTCTTAAACTACATCTGTATGGGTGATTGCATTTGACGTTTTAAATGATACTGTTAGTACCCAAAAGATATGAAATAACACAATGACTGTCAATATTAAGTCTAGGGACAAAGGATGTTAAATACTGTTTATTCACAATGTAAAAATATAGGCTGGCAACATGTGGGAGGATATCTACAACATATTTGTAATATTAAAGATGTATTTTAACAAACCTCAAGATAACATCGTTAAAAGATAATTTAATATGAAAGACATCATTACAACATAGCTAAAGATTTAATGAATCACAATAAAAGAAAATTGGAATGTCTTAATTTTCATTCTATAAAACTCTTCGTATGTAAAAAATTATATGACCTAACCCCACCTAGCGCATTGTCGAGAAAACCTAAACCTGGGATGTAAGCTAGACAGGAAAATAATCAATAGGGTTGCAACAAAGAATGATATATGCATAAGCTATATTATATTGAAATAAAATCAAGCCTGAGTCCATGTCATGATGTTGATATGTTAAGCCCGTGTGCTTCGTGGTATCCGAACATGTGGCTACAATGAGACATCTTGAACATTGCTTTGAGCAAAATATAACACTTCATTATTTACCACGATTTCTTCTATCCGTAACACAAGTATTTAAAGCACGCAACTTACAAGTTATGAGAAGCGATTATTAATTCAAACTAAAGGTTTATGCCGTATGGTAATTATAAAATAATATCAAATTTGACAAACGTGCCGGTGCCGCAATGATAATTTTTAAATATAACATCACACATTATCCACACCGTTTAATTGCCTTCTTAGCACCAATTACTGTTCACCACAAAGAATACTTACGAAAATATTATTTATAATAATAAAATGAAGGAACACGATAAAACTAAGATATTTATCGACACTCACATGTGACCGATGGGTTCTTCAACCGAAAGGTCAATTTGCGCCTGCGTAGCACCTTCATCAGTCACTTCCTGTTATGGGGTTCTCAAATTTGATAAAAAGCCGCCATTTCATGGCGGGAAATATAAGTCCACGTACAAGTAACAAAAATTTACTTCATTTTGACTCTTAAATATTTAAAAAATAAAACTACTACTATTATATGCATTACATATTATTCTATTACATTAAAAACAAAATAAATATAAATTTAACGATGAACTGTTTTAACGACAACAGACACTTTCTATTTTGCTCACTAGGTGGCAGTAACATAATGCACAAGTATATATAGCAATTAGTGGTATAAAATTATCATATCAAGAGGGATTTAGACCAAACATTAAGGTAAACTTTAAAATTTTATAAAGTCAACAAAATACTATTCAGTACCAAGTTTACAATAGGATAAACACAAAATATATAACTGCAATTTGTCTAGTAGTCTGTACACGGTGTCAATTGTCTTTACACGCATCTAAATGTATCTGTTTACGACGACTTCCGGTGCAATGGACGCTTTAAAATTAAAAAGTTGTAGTAGTATAATATTGTTAATAAATACCAGATGGCGGTATTCGGAATATTATTAAGAATTAAATTCAATTGTTTTGTTATTATTGAAAAATACTTAATATCAAATAAATTGGTAGACAATTTTTTATTTTAAATACTTATTTATGGTTATAATAGCAAACTTTGGTTAACGAAGTATAGATGACGCTAGTAGTTGCTCATACGACATACACATACAGAGAAGTAGTATCTAGTTCTTAAGACATAATATAACTTATTCACTTTGCGTCGGGCATCAGCCGTGAGCCACTAACGCAAATCTGCATGGAAATGGTCAGGAGACAAAGCGTGAACTAAGATCATCCTAATTCCTTTAGCCAGGGTTGAAGCTATTAAGCGATTAGGCCGCCGATAGTGTGCAAAGAAGTGTCGATGATAAAAGAATGCAAAAACAAAAAAGGAAAAGAGGAAAAAAAAAAAAAAAAACAAAAAAAACAAAACAAAAAAAAAAAAAAAAAAAACGAACCGTTTTGTCAAATGCCTGACGTCACCCCCCAAAAAAAAAAGAAAAAAAATAATTTAAGTTCATGCTCGCGCCTTCATAAAATAAGCAACTCGTTCATGGGTCAATGTTGCGCTTTTACATACACTTCCTATGGATGTTCGGAAAATTTCCCTTAAAACTTTAATTTTTTATTCAAAATTATTAACTAAAGGATATTACAGGATACCGATTATTTAAATGATACAAGTTTTCATGTTTTCACTCACGCATAATTATTGTGCATTACAGAATACTTAAATTAAACTTTGAAATTCCTTTTTCTTTAAAATTCATTACACATTTACTTTACATATTATTTAAATTCCTTTTGTATTAAACACGTACCATTAAAGTTCACCCACAAGACAGAGGCTCCTTACTGTGGGGACTAGGGTTAGAACCATTTTGTCACAACCATATTTTGTTTTAATTTTTGGTCATTAAAAAACTTTGTTTCTCATAAGAATTGAAAATTCAAAAAACCCGGGGGGAAAAAAAAAAATTTTTTGGTGGAATAAAAAATTGAAAAATTTTAGCCTATAGTTATTTTGGGCTGGCGACTGAGTGAGTTGGCCCTACCTATGTCTCCATACGGCGCCCCCGGGGGTGGTGTGGTGGGGGGGGGGGGGCCCCCCAAAAAAAGGGGGGGGGGGGGGGGGGGGTTTGGGGGGGGGTGGCGGGCGGGGGGGGGGGGGTGGGTGAGATGGGTGTGGTTTTTTCTTCAAAAAAACCCGAAGAAAAAATTCTGTGTTTTTTTAAAACAAATTTTTAATTTTTTATTTTTTTATTTTGACTATAAAAGAGACTGAAGACCCCGAGTTTGTTTCGACATTTCTTCTCAGGGCAGTCAGTTAGGAAATGTCGACTTCATCTAGTAAACACATGTGTAAAGTGATTTAAATAGTCCTACTTCAAGATTAAAATATTTCGGATCTCATTTCATTTCTTCATTGAAATTCAATTTATAGCGGAGATTCAAAAGCCATTTTCGGGAATGTGAGTTGTGGGAGGGATTTTCCAGAATATACATCCGAGAACGTAATCAGGACCTATAATTGTTAAGGCTATTTTTTTAAGTAAGGGGGAGTTTTAGGATGAAAGAGATTGTAATAAAGAAGATGGAGGATATGAAGATCACGCCGAAGGCAAAGGTACTTTGTATAATTCGAGGCATGATTATGTTTTTTAAACCAGAAATATAAAATAATCATAAATAATAAAAAATCTTCAAGAGTATTTACTACTTAGAAATTCCTTAACTGTCAAAGTCAGAATAGATGTTAGCAAACATGATTGATAAATATAATAATAATAAGCCTCTTATCCTGAACTGTTTCTTTGACTTTGTGGTTGACTCTTATCTTTAAGTTATAAAATATCTCTGAGTTCAGTGTGCCTCTTGGCAAAGGCCTCCTCTAACAATTTCCATTGTACTCTGTCTCTTGCAACCCTTCTCCATTTTGAGCCTGCTGTTAATTTTAATTCGTCTTCCCATCTCTTGCTTTGTCTTCCTCTGTTCCTTTTCCCATCTCTAGGGTACCAGTCAGTTATGATGTTGCTCCACTTTTCTTGTCTATCACGTATCATGTGCCCAGTCCATCTCCACTTCAAACTATCTATTCTAGTGAGTATGTCTGTGACTTTTGTCTTACTTCTTATGACAGTGTTTCGTATCTTATCTTGTTTCTTAATACCTATCATACTTCGTTCCATAGCTCTTTGGCAGTGTTCCAGCATGTTTCTGTGATGTTTTGTGAGAGCCCAAGTTTCACACCCATATGTAATACATGGGAGAATGCAGGTATTGAAGACCTTCCTTTTGATACCAGTACTCAGATCTGTGGATTTCATGATCTCTTTCAGTGACCAATATCTCTTCCGTCCGTTAGCTATTCGTCTTTTTAATTTCTTTTGTAGTTGTGTCTGTATGTGAGATGATTTGTCCTAAATAGATATATTCATCTACATATTCAACGGGTTGGTTAATTTTTATTTCATATTTGTTTGAATTCGTTAATAGCTTCGTTTTGTTTATATTCATAGTTAAGCCCACTTTTTTGCTCTCTGTATTTAGTTCTTGTATCATTTTTTCTAGGCTCCCTGATTGATAAATAATACATAACAAATATAATAATAAACACTCAAAGAAAATAAAACCATACATTTAATTTCCTTAATAAATAAAAAACATATCTTAAGGTTACAAAACCAAAAAAATATTCAGTATTATCTCAATATCGGAACCAGCCAATGACTATCAAAAATACTTAATCGCACTATAATAACAACATC